GTGGACATGGGCATATCGTAAGCATCCTTAAAGGACCATCTTGGGAACTTGGCTTCTTTCTTGAGGGCACTAGAGAGCCATGGAAGGGTTTTGAGCAGGAGAGGGCCATGGTTAGGTTTGGGTTTTAGCTGCTGTGTGCAGGGGGACACTGAGGCTGGGTGCCCAGGGGAGGCTGGGGCAGGAGACAGTGGGACTGGGTAGGGCCAAGGGAAGAGGAGGAGGGGGCGAGTCGAGGGATGCTCAGAAGGCCAAGTGGACAGGCCATAAGCCTTACAGACTTGGGAGGGATAAGGCCAGAGAAAGGTCCAAGGTTGGTCAGCTGCCCTTGAGGTGGGAGCCTGGGAGAAAGAACAGATTTGAAGGGAGATGCTGAGGCTTGTTTGGAACATGGTGGCTGTGAAGGGCTAAGGGGACACACAGGGGAAGGCATCAGGTTACAGGACCCTCAGGGCACGGGCTCAGTGGGTGGTTGAGGCTGGAGACAGACAAGGAAACCAAGGCCATGAAGGTGGGTTTGACAGCTCTGGGTGGGAATGAAGAGAGAAGACCAGCCTTGAGAAATCAGCCTTAGGGTATTTATATATTTATATCAGTAAGGAAAGATTTGGGTTGCAAGTAACCAAATCCTGACTGGCACTGGCTGAAATGATGAGATGGTTGTATATTGTACATCACCAGAGTTGGGGACAGCTCCAGGCATGATACAATCCACAGCTCCAAGAGAGTCTTGCGGTCCCAGGTTCCCTCTTTCTCTGCTCTGTTACCCTCAGCTGAAGGCTTGGCTTCCGCATGGGCTCTCCTCATGGACCCAGAGTGGCTGCCACAGATCCAGGCATCACAATCAGACATGTTAATTTTGAGTACAGGAAGTTGGCAGGGTGTGGTGGTGGCGGCATCTCTTCCCATGGTACCTTTTTGGAAACAAGGAAACCTTTTCCCGGTGTCTCCCAGCAGCCTTCCTCTTCCATCTCATTGGCCAAAATTGGCTCACATGCACATCCTGACCCAATCATTGGCCAGAGTGATGGCATCACCATGATTAGCTTGGATTCCTCAGGATTCCCCCTGCCGCCCAGGTCTGAGGCTGGGGCTGAGGTTTTAGTTTGCAGGCTGGTGAATACTTGAACAAAATTGGGCTTCTATTAGAAAGGCAGAAAGTTGGGAGAATGGGCAGACGTCAATAAACTAATCAGCCAAAGCAGTGATGTACAATTATGCAGGTTGAGACCTACATAAGGGATGCCTGGCTGGTAGGGTGGAAACAAATAGGGGCTGAAGTTCATGGCTGAATATGCCCAAAGAGGACTTCTTTTTCTTATTAACATAACAGCCCCATATGGTGAGCAGTGACCCTTAAACCAATGCCCTCCTACCCGAGAGAAGAGCTGACAAAGGAGACAAAAAAGGAGTTCTAGAGAGGAGTAGGAAAACCAGGAGGGTGGGGAGTATTGTAAGAGATGAGAGAATTTTAAGGAGGGAGAAGGCAACATTGTCAAATGATGCTAAGAAGTCACACAAAACTGTTTTAATAACAGTGATAGAAAACACTTATATAGGATTAACTATGTGCCAGGCATTGTTCCAAGCCCCTGATACACAAGAATTTATTTAACCCTCTCAGCAACTCTGTGAGTCAGGTACATTCTCCATATTGCAGATGAGGAAAGGAGGCCCAGAGAGGTTAAATAACTTATCCAAGGTCACACAGGAAATGCAAAACTGAGATTTGGACAAGGTTTTTGTTGGTCACCTTGTCCCACGGAGGCTCAGAAACACCCACTGTCTAGCTCTTTCTCAGTCTCCCAGCCTTCCTGGCTCCTCAGCACGGTCGTTGACCCTGCTGCTAAAGTCACTAGCTGGGTGGAAGGCAGTTGCTTGGGGGAGGTGCCTGTGTGATCTGGTTTCTGCTCCTCACCACTTCTCCTTCCAAATTCCCCTGGAAAAAGAAATCAGGCCCTGCTCAGTTCAAGATATTAAAAAAAAAAAAAAAAAGCACATGCTTAAAAATGGAAAAGTAGAAAAGACTGTACAGTGAAAAGTAAGTCTTCCTCCTGTACTTGGGCTGTGTTGACAGATTTCTCAGGTCTCCTAGGCATGTACCAGCAATATACATGTGTGTGTATATGTGTGTTATTAACTTTTTTCTTTCACTCTACATAAGTGGTACCTAGTACAGTGAGGTGGTTACGATCACAGACTCTGGTGGCAAAGTCCCTGGGTATAAATCTGAACTCTGTCACTTCTAGGCTCTGTGGTTTTGGGCAAGTGATTTCACCTTCCTGTGCCTGAGTTTGCCAATCTGTGAAATGGTATGATAACAGCACCTACCTCATGGACTTGTTGGAGAATTAAGCAATTTAATACTGTAAAGCTCTTAGAACAGTGTCTGGTGCTCAGTAAAATGTCAGCTAATGGTTATTCTCATTTCTGCACCTTTTTCATATTATATGTTTCATATATACATGTATGCTTTTCTAATATTCTCTTTTCTGCACCTTGCTTTTTTCACCAACCCAGTGTCACTCGGAGATCATTCAAGAGGCACACAAGTAGGTCTCCTATCCTTTTTTATGTCTGTGGTGCCTCCTCTAGGACCCACATCCAATAAATTATTTCCACGTTTCATTAACGGACATGTGGGTGGCTGCCAGTCTTTTGCTGTCATAAGTGATGCTGTAGGGTGTACCTTGTGCATCAAGGTAACAGAGGCCCTCCCCTTGGTGGGGCTATATTCCTGAGTGTGGGGGGGTGCCATGACGACACCCCAGTCTCTCTGCCTCTGTGAGTCTAGAAGGGCTCAGGTACACAGCTGCTGGATTTCTTCCCTCAGATGAAGTCACCCTCCATGGTCTGTGGGGATGGGCTGGAGGGTGGGGAGCACAGACCCCTGTCAGCTCTTCATTTACGTAGAACACCTATAATGTGCTGTGTTGCACAGAGTTGGGAACAAGTGACAGAGAAAGCCCTAGGCCCTACCCTCACGGAGCCTGTGATGCAGTGGGAAACAAAGACCCATTCCCAGATAGACATGGCCTAGCATGGTCAGGGGAAAGATGGGGGCTGCTCACATATCATAGACAAGACCTGAAAGGAGCAAAGTGGTCAGCCGGTGACAAAGTAGGGAATAGCATTCCAGAGGGTGTTACAGCAAATGCACACTCTGGAGGAGAGCGAGCATGCTTGATCAAGGATATTCAAGTCGCTCCGTGTGACTACGTTTTGGACTACAGAGGGAGAAAAGGTGCCTGGGCTAGGAAGGACTACAGGGATGAGATTATGCAGGGCTCTGGAAAACAACTGAGTTTGGATGTTTCCCTGGGGTCCTGGGGAGTCATGGAAGGTTCCCAGGGCGTTGTCTCCAGACCATTACTATCAGCATCACCTGGAATCTTGCTGGAAATACAAATTCTCCAGCCCCATCTCAAAACTTACTGAATCAAAACATCTGGGGGTGGAGCCCAACAACCTGTTTTAACAAGCTCTTTTGGTGAGTCTAATGCATGCTAGAGTTTGAAAACCACTGGGGTTTAGAGTAAAGTCAGCTTTGCAGTTCATCAAAAAATCATGGTCTGGGGAATTCCCTGGCGGTCCAGTGGTTAGGACTCCACACTTTGATTGGAGAGGGCCCAGGTTCAATCCCTGGTCGGGGAACTAGGATTCCCGGAAAAAAAAAAAAAAAGCCATGGTCTGAGTCCGTAACTGTTAGGCATCAGAATACCAATGAAAACTGTTAACTTATTGAATATTTACTTGTGCCAGGCATTATTCACGTGCTATCTTATTGGCTTCCCAAAACAGCTCTATGAGCTGGCTGCCTTTGTCCCTGTTCTGTAGAGAAGGGTGTTAAGCCGCAGTCAGATTAATTCCCACATGGAGACCAAACTGTTTTTCACTAGAATTGTGATATCAATGTCTGATTGGGTAGAAAGGCAAGTAGGCGAGAACCACCAATAGGAACTCCTTGAAGGCCTTCCCATCGCAAACGTCGTCCCCAGCACCCTCTGCCGGCCAGGCCCCGCGCTACTGGGTGTTGAGCACCTCCCTCCCTCCGCCCCCCAAGCCGTAGGCGCTGGTTGGGGTGCGCGTTACCATGGAGACAGGCGGGCGAGGCAGGCATGCCTCGAGAAAGGCAGAAGTCGGTTGTGGAAGTGTAGGCGGCCATTTTGAGACCGGGCAAGAGGGGCGGGACTGGAGCGGCAGAGTGACGGTTGACCGGTTTAACTTAGAGACTGGTACCACGGGGCGGAGAGAAGAGGGAGGTACCTGGGGTCATGCCTGGGAGGGAAGGGTGGGGCGAGGGCGGGGTTAAGAGGGGGAGGGAGGGGAGGGGCAGGCGAGGAGGGGAAAGGCTGGGGAAAAGGAGGAGAGTCCAGGGACTGGGCACAGGAGGAGCGGGGCGGAGAAAGGGCGGGGCGAGGAGTCGGGAGAGGCTAAGAGAAGAAGCGGGGCGATGAATAGGGGCGGGGCTAGAAGAGGCGGAGCGTAGAGCCAGGCTGTTCAGGGAAAGGAAAGGGGTGGTGAAAAGGGAGGGGGCGAAAAGGTGTCGGGGTTCAGGGGGAAGGTGAGCATCAAGAAAGTGCTGACTGACAAGGTAGCGCCGACAAGGAACGAGGAGAAGTTGCAGGACGAGGAGAGGGTGCGGAGCGAGGGGAAGGCCAGTGGCGAGGAGAGTTCCCAAGGCAAAGAAAGCGTCTCTAAAGAGAAGGGGCGGGGCCATAGGAGGGGGCGGGGCAAGGAGCTGGCTTGGGAAGAACAGCTCCCCCAGGATGAGGGGGAAGGGTGGGTCTATAAGGGGCGGGACAAGGAGCAGAAGCCGAGCGAGGAGCAAGCTCCAGGCGAGAAACAGGAGCGGGGACAGGGGAAGCGCTGGGCGGGGGAAGGGGCGGGGAAGGTCCGGAAACAGGATCCGGAGAGGGGCGGGTCTAGAGGCAGGACCCGGTACCTGGGCAGGGCCCGAGCACGGACAATGGGGCGGTGCGAAGAGAAGTGGGGGGCGGGGCGAGAAGTGGGGGCGGAGCCACGTGCAGGTTCGCGACCAGAGGAACTGGGGAAAATAGGTGGGGCGCAGCTAAATCGAGAAACAGAAACCGAGACCGAGTGAAGAGTAGCGGTGGGAGGCAGAGCAGGGGCAAGAGGAAAGAAGTGTGGGGCGAGGTTAAGGGGAGAGACCATGAGCCCGGGCGAAACCAGGAGTAGGGGCGTGGCCAGGAGCAACAGGAGGGGCGAGACCTGGAGTAGTAGCAGAGGCGGGGTCCAGAAGTGTAGTAGATGCAGGGCCTGGGGCAGGGCCGAGTTCTGGAGCAGAGGCGGAGCCAGGAACAAAAGCAAGGGTGGAGCCTGGAGCAAGAGCAGTAGAGGAGAGAGGAGCAAAAGTAGGAGTGGAGCGTCTGAGCAGAGGCGGGGCCAGGAGCAGGGACTGGACGAAGCACCGGAGCGAGGCGGGAACTCAGAAGGCGCCTACCAAGAACAGTCTTGCAGGCTGGTGACCTCCGCATTCTCCAGGTTGAAGCCACGTTATTCACTGCCCCGAGATGTCCCCTGCTGGCCCTGCGTGGCCGAGGCTCCGAGTCCTGCAGGCGCTGTGGGCACTGCTGGTGGTGCTGTTGGCACCGTGGAGGTTGTGGGCGATAAAGAATACCCAGGAGTGCACCTGGCAAGTTGTCCTGAACAACTTTGAGACAGTAGGCAAGAAGGACGCGAGCGATCGTTTCGTCGATCAAGAGCCCTTGTACACAGTGGACAAAGTGTTCAGCCTGCTAGTGGACGCGCCCATCGACCCGGACGAGGTGAGGGGACTGGTGTCAGGCAAACGGGAGAGGTCCTGGACCTGCACCCCACTGGGCTCTGGACATTTGCCCACCCTCTCCTTGCAGACATACCTGGGCTTTCCTTACTACCTGAAGATCAACTACTCCTGCAAGGGAGAGGTGAGTGGGTGCAGAGAGGGTGGGCTCATTCTGTTGGGACCTCAGTTTCTCCATCTCTAACATTTGAATAGCGGTGGCACCACCAGACCCTAGGGACCTTAAAGATTCAAGAAAATTCCCAGTATCCCACGAGGCACATAGTTGGTGCTCAAGTAAGCTTTCTATTTCCATTTTTAAAAATTGACGTATAGTGTCTTCCCTGGCGGTCCAGTGGTTAAGACTCCGGGCTTCCACTGCAGGGGATACGGGTTCCATCCCTGGTCCGGGAACTAAGATCTCGCATGCCCTACATCGCGGCCAAACAAAACAAAATAACAACAACAAAACACTTTCCTCAATAAAGTGAAGAAAATATTTTTCGAAAATTGCGATATAGGGCTTCCCTGGTGGCGCAGTGGTTGAGAGTCTGCCTGCCGATGCAGGGGACACGGGTTCGTGCCCCGGTCCAGGAAGATCCCACATGCCGCTGAGCTGCTAGGCCCGTGAGCCATGGCCGTGGAGCCTGTGCTCCGCAACGGGAGAGGCCACAACAGTGAGAGGCCCTCGCACTGCAAAAAAAAAAAAATTGAGATATAATTCACATACCATAAATTCACTATTTAAAAATATACAGTTCGGGAATTCCTTGGCGGTTCAGTGGTTAGGACTCCGAGCTTCCACTGCAGGGGACACGGGTTCGATCCCTGGTTGGGGAAGTAAGATCCTGCAAGCTGTGGGATACAGTTCAATAGTTTTTTGTATATTTACAAAGTTGTGCAACCATCACCACTATCTTGTTCCAGCACATTTTTATCACCTCAAGAGGAAACCCTGTACCCCTATCCCTCCAGCCCCTGGAGACCACTAATCTACTTTTTGCCCCTATGAATTTGCTTATTCTGGACATTTCATATAAACAATGGAATCAGGGGCTTCCGTGGTGGTGCAGTGGTTGAGAGTCCGCCTGCCAATGCAGGGGACACGGGTTCGTGTCCCGGTCCGGGAAGATCCCACATGCCGCCGAGCGGCTAGGCCCGTGAGCCATGGCCGCTGAGCCTGCGCGTCCGGAGCCTGTGCTCCGCAACGGGAGAGGTCACAACAGTGAGAGGCGCGCGTACCGCAAAAAAAAAAAAAAAAAAAAGGAATGGAATCATACAATATGTGGGCTTTTGTATCTGACTTCTTCTCAAGGCTTATCCATGTTGTAGCATGCATTAGTATTTCCTTTTTATGGCTGAGTAATAATATTCAGTTGTATGGATGTGCTACATTTTGCTTATCCATTCATTAATTGATGGACATTTGGGTTATTTCCACTTTTGAGTGGGGATATTACGAATAATGCTGCTATGAACATGTCTGTACAAGTTTTTGTGTAAAGATCTGTTTTCACTTCTCTTCACTACATACCTAGGAAAGGAATTGCTGGGTCATATGTTAGCTCTGTTTCTCTTCTGAGGAACTGCCAGCCTGTTCTCCAAAGCAGCTACACATCATTTTATATTCCCATCAACAATGTATGAGGGGTCCAGTTTTTCTATATCCTCACTTGCTCTTGTTCATCTTTTTGATTATAGCCATCTAGTATGTCTAGTATCTAGTATGTGTGAAATGGTATCTCAGTGTGGTTTTGACTTGCATTTGCCTCGTAACTAATGATGTTGAACATCTTTTCATATGCTTGTTGGCCATTTATCTTCTTTGGAGAAACGTCTATTCAGCTCCTTTGCCCATTTAAAAACTGGGTTATTTGTCTTTCTACTGTTGCATTGTAAAATTTCTTTTTATATACTGGATACTAGTTCCTTATCAGATATATAATTTGTAAATATTTTTCACATCCCATGTCTTTTCGCTATCTTGATGATGTCCTTTAAAGCACAAAAGCTAAAAAAAAAAAAAAAAAACAAAAAAGCACAAAAGCTTTATGTTTATTGAGATATAATTCACATATCATACAATAGCACCAAAGTTTTTAATTTTGATAAAGTCCAATTTATCATTTTTTTTCACTTGTTGCTGGTGCTTTTGGTGTTGTCTAAAAAGGCTTTACCTAACCAAAGTCACGAAAATTTACTTCCATGTTTTCTTCTAAGAGTTGTTTGTTTGTTTTAGCTCTTACGTGTAGGCCTACGATCCATTTTGAGTTAGTTTTTGTATGTGGTGTGAGGTAGGGGTCCAACTTTTACATGTGAATATCCAGTTATGCCAGTACCATTTGTTGAAAAGATTATTCTTTCCTCATTGAATTGTCTTGGCACCCTTGTCAAAAATCAATTGACCATAAATATAAGGGTTTATTTCTGGGTATAATTCTATTCCATTGCTCTATATGTCTATCCATATGCCAGTACGACACAGTCTTGATCACTGTAGTTTTGTATTAAGTTTTCAAATTGGGAAGTTTGAGTCCTCCAACTTTGTTCTTCTTTAAGACTGTTTTGGCTCAAGTAAGCTTTCTGAGGACAGTAGAATGTTGTGGTCTAGAACTGAAGTTCTGGAGGCTACAGACCTGGGTTTGAATCTGCCATTAGCTAACATTACTTGGAGGAAGTATAGCGTGATAGTGAATCCTTTGGGCTGTGGAGCCAGGCTGCCTGGCTTCAAATCCCAGCTCTGCTACATAATAGCTGTGTGATCTCAGGCAAGTTACTTAACTTCTCTGTACCAAAGTTTCCTCATCCTTAACAAGGGTCCAATAATGATCATACCCACTTCATAAAATGCTTAAATAAGTGTGAAGCACTTAGCACAGTGCCTGGTTCATAGACAGGGCTCAGTGAATGCTAGCAGCAAGTTTCTAGAGTGTGACCCTGGGCAGAGAGTTTACTCCATGAGCCTTCTCTCCTTATCTGTGAATTCCTTTATCTGTTCATGCAACACCTGCTCTGAGTCAGATCCTCTTTTTTTTTTTTTTTTTCACAATGGGGTGGGGAAGGCAGTACAATGATAAACAACGTGGCCAGGTTTTTCTTCTGGATGCAGCCCACCAGGGAAACAGACAATTGCCAAGTAAATACATAAAATAATTTATTACAGTAATCAGTGCAAAGATGAAAATAAAATGAGGTGATATGTCAGAAAGGAGGGTGTTAGCTGGGGTGGTTGGGGAAGGTCTCTGAAAAGCTTGAGCAGAGACTGGAATGATGAAAAGGGACACACATGCGGAGGACTGGGGAAAACATCTGGGCTGAGGGAACAGCCAGGACGGAAGCCAGTGTGTATGGGGAACCGACCAGAGGCCTGTGTGGCTGGAGGAGAGTGAGCGAGGGGGAGAGTGGGAGGAGATAGTGAGGACCTGGCTTTCCCCTTGAGGGAGGTGGAGCCATGAGAAGGTTCTGAGCAGAGGACAGATGTGATGAGACTCAGGTGTTCACAGGCTGAATAAGGGGCAGGGCAGCAGCAAGGAGACAGGGAGGGGGCTGATGCTCAGTCCGGGCAGGAGTTGAAGGTGGACAGCACCAGGGTGGTCATGGCCACTGTAGCCCTGATGGTGAGGAGGTCCCCGCCCACCAGCACCTGCTACCCTGTGATTGGAAACCCTGAGGCAGGGCTGGGGCCGGTGTCGGGGGCAGGATTGAAAGGGCCCCGGCCTAGGCATTCCTCAGGATGAAGGCCTGTGCAGAAGGGGTCAGACCCATTAAATCTCCCGCCCGCATCTCACAGCTGCCCCCACACCCCTGCCCACAGTGGCTTGAGGACAGCTGTCTCTTGGGGATGCCTCCAAGCCTTTGCTAGTGCTATTCTAGGGACTTCCCTGGTGGTCCAGTGGGCCCTCCCAGTGCGGGGGGCACGGGTTCAATCCCTGGTTGGGGAACTAAGATCCTGCATGCTGCACGGTGTGGCCAAAAAAAAAAATTAATGCTGTTCTATACCCTAGAACACCTATTTTCTCCTTCCATCTCCGCTCAAGCCCTGCCCTCCCTTCTTAGCCCAGCCAGGATCCTGGCATCTCTGGGAGGTTGTCCCTGGCTGCCCCGTCACCCTCTTCCCCAGTTCCTTTCTGTCTAACTGCCCCATCCCACCCTCAGCCCCAGGCCCCAGCCCACAAACCTGGTGGCGATGGCAGAGACTCTAATTTCTCTGGGTAGGGGGTGGGGTAGAAGCCTCAAGAATGGGACTTGAAATCCCTGAAGTGAGGGAAGAGGCTGCTAGTATTTTGGGTGCCAGGCACTCCCACCTTTACGTTTTTGCTTATCCCATGCTGTTTTCCCCCATGCATTCCCTACATCCAAATTCTGTCTGAGGACCTTGCTCTGGACTCGCCTCCTCCAGGAAGACCTCCTGACTCCCTCCACAGCCCAAAGCACTTCTGCCCATCTCCTAGCCTGGCCCATCCCCTGCCCCAGCCCCAAACCTAGACCATGTTCTCTGACCTTCCCTCAGTGGAGAGTCTGCTCTCCTGACCCAGCCCCAGGAAGAAGACAGGCTAGTAAAGGTAGGGTCAGGGCAGTGGGACCCACAGGCTATCTTAAGGACACACTTGTGGGGCCATCTCGCCCTCAGTCCTCTGAGGCCCTGGTCCGCAAGGGCCACCTGACGGGGCTGAAGCCGGTGGTGCTGGTCACCTTCCAGTCCCCAGTCAACTTCCATCGCTGGAAGATAGAGCAGCTACAGATCCAGATGGAGGCAGCCCCCTTCCGCAGCAGAGGTGGGCCTGGAGGGCTCCTGGAGGGGTCACAGCATGGCGGGCACGTGGGGGCATTGCCAGGGACCTCAACAGGGTTCATGACCTTGAGGGGAGGCTGGGACCATCAAAGGGGCCTATGACCTGGTGGGCATGGGGGTTTGTTGGGGGCCTCACAGAGGTGTCTGACCTGGAGGGGGGCCCGGGGAGGCCTCAGCAGGTTCCTTGGCCTAGATGGGACCACACAGAGGCCCCAGTGGGGTCCATGGCTGAGGGGAGGCGTGGGGAGTTGCAGGGGGATCCCAGTGGTCTGTGGCCTGGGGGGCTTGCTACTGGAAGGCCCCAGCAGCCTCAGTACCCCCTGCCTGCCAGCAGAGAGGTGTAATGCAGAGGAAGTGTGTCTCATGAGCTGGTACACACCCATGCCCATCAAGAACGGCAGCGTGGTCATGCGCGTGGACGTTAGCAGCAACGGCCTGGGGCCCTTCATTCCCAATAAAAGGTGCCCTTTCCCAAACCTGGGGCGGGGGGTTGTCTCTGGGAAGGGCTTCCTACTCCCCAGATCCCCAAAGAAGACAGGAGGAACCCAAAGGGAGGGAACAGGACAGGGAGGTGGCAGTGAGCTGTGGCAGGAGCTGGAATGCATGCCCTACAACCACCTCCAGGTTTCAGGTGAATATCAACGGCTTCCTGGAGAGACAGCGAGACAACACACTCCAATTCACTGTGGGAAATGAGGTGAGGGGGGCCCGGATGGTGGGAAGGGTAGAAGAGGGGGTTAAGGACAGTAGGCTGGGGCCCTGATTACTTCCCAAACGAGTGGCAGATTCCATTTACAGAGCATTTACTGTGTGCTGGCCCCCTGGCGACATGCTCTGCTAAATGCACAATCACATTAGGTCTTGACAGTGACCTGTGAGGGAAGGTACTCTCACATACCCATTTTAAAGAGGAGAAAACTGAGACCCCAAAAGGGTAGAGCCATTTGCCAACAGGCTCTCGGCATGTACACATGGAACGAGACTTGAAACTGTGTCTGCCTGACTCCTGCACCCATATTCTTAACCACAGTGCATTCATTCATTCAGCAGGCACTTCCTGAGCACACGGTGTGGCATGGGAACATAACAGTGAACACAGAGACCCAAACCCCTGTCCTCTCTTAGAGCTGACATTCTAGTGGGAGAGACAGACAGCAAACCAGTACAAATGAAATCAGGTAAATTCTGTAGCAGGTTAAAAGGTAGTTAGTGCCCTGGAGAGAATTCAGAGTGAGGGGAACTGGGTCTGTGCAGGACGGGACGGCAGTGTTTAATGGAATGCTCAAGAAAGGCATAACTGGTGGGAATTCCCCAGCAGTCCAGTGGGTAGGACTCTGCCTTCACTTCGGAGGGCCCAGGTTCGATCCCTGGTCGGGGAAATAAGATCCCACAAGACCCCACAAGCCACGTAGCGTGGCCAAAAAAAAAAAAAAAAGGCATAATTGAGAAGCTTGGCATTTGAGTAAAGGGAATCACGTGGCTACCAGGGGATACAGAGGGAACAGTCTTCACAAAGGCTCTGAGGAGCGGGAAACCCATGTGGCCGGGAGAGAGTGGGTGAGTGGGAGAGTGCTGGGGGATGAGATCAGAGAGGCGATGGGACAAATAGACGGAACCGTGGGAGAGGGAAGGGAGGGGCGTGTTGAGCAGCCCTCCTGCCCCTGCCCCTCAGCTCTTCAATCTGATACCCCGGTACTTTGTGAATGTCCCGTCGAGGCCCTTGTGGTACACTGTGGACCAGGCACCTGTGTTCATCCTGGGCGGCATCCCTGAGGAGAAGGCCATCCTGCTGACTGACACAAACTTCAAGGACTTCTTTCTCGTGGAGGTGAGTTGATGTAGGGCAGATGGTGGTCTGGGCCTCAGCTCCTAAAATGGTGGGGGGGGGGGCCTGGGACCAGAGAAAGGTCCCCAAAGACCTACCACCAATGAGAGGCAAAGAGCATGAATGAAAGACATGAGACTGCAACCAGACAGCCTGGGTTCAGGTCCTGGTTCTGCCACCTCCTGGCTGTGTGATGTTGGGCAAGTCATGTTACCTGGGCCTCAGATTCCCCATCTGTAAAATGGGAACAATACTTATATTTACCTCACAGAATCATTGAGAGGATGGTATAAATTAACGTCAGCCGGACACAGAATGAGCACTACATGAGTCAAAGCTATCATTACTTATAGGTCCACCATTTGTAATTCTGAAATCCAAAATCTTTGAAATGGCATTTTCAGAAGTTTAGGGCTAAAATGTATTTGTTGAGAAACTCCGACCTGAGCTAACAAAGGCTACTTTTTTAGTCTTTATGCATTCCATTTAGTGTTACTATTCAGATGCTGCCCTGCAGAAATATTAAGGAGTTTGATTATGGGGTGTTGCCCCAGACCCCACTGGGGTTTGGATGGTATATATGTGCCATCTTACCTACTAAACTGGAAAATTCTGAATTTCGATATACATCTGGCCCCTAGGGTTTCAAGTTCAGCATTGTGAGCCTATATTATTCCCAGAACAGGGAAGGAGTGTCTGAAGCAAGGTTCTTTTGGTGTGAATGACAAACACGTTTGAATTAATTGCAGCTGTAGGCAGAGCTCCAAACCAGTTTGGTTTAAGCAGAGAAATGGATTTAGTAGGTGTGCCTAACTGCAAAGCCCAGACACAGCTCAGCCTGCAGGCCTGGCTTGATTCAGGGCTCACATGAGGACTCCAGCTTTTGGTTCCACTTCTTCTGGATTAACTCCATCCTCAGTGTGATTCATATCATCCCAACTCCCAGGCAGAGAGAAAGGGAGCGTCTGTTTCCCAGATAACTTAAAAAAAAACAAAACAAAAACAAAAAAACCCTGAAATTTGTTTGCTTTGTCCTGATTGGCCGAGCTTGAGTCATGTGTCCCAAAAGAATGGAATGTGACAGCTGGCTTAGCACAGGTCATGAGATCCATCCTAGTGAGGACGGCATCGGAGACAAGAGGCAGAGAAAGGATGGTTCCCCCAGAGTGAAATCAGGCTAGCTTTGCCACAGGTTGGGGGGATAAGATGCTGGTTGTTAATTGTGTCCAAGGTAACAATTGTGCACACAGCAGCCCCAAAAGATTGCCTTAGCCTCCTCCCCTTAAGGTTGAAAGCCCCACGCATGATTTCTCACAACCCCATGTGGATTAATGTTCTCTCAGGTCCCTCTGGCCATGAATTCCGGCTTCTACTGATCTCATTTCATTTACAGTCTCCCTGTCCTGGGTCAGCTCTCTCGGTTCTGGCCCAAGTCTTTCCAGACCTTGCTCAGTTTTCACGCTCCTGACCCAAACACACCCACAGGAAATATGTGGCCGATGTGGATTCTGCTGAAGAGATTTGGAGGACAGAGAAGGGGGTTTATGTCATGAGAATGAAAAGTGCAATTTGAACTTCAGTCATCCTTGTTCTTTTTTCCTCTTTTTAATTTATCAAGATGAAACTCATAAAATTCACCACTTTTTTTTTTTAAAGATTTTTTTGATGTGGACCATTTTTTTAAACTCTCTATTGAATTTGTTACAACACTGCCTCTGTTCCATGCCCTGGCCCTTTGGCCTCGAGGCACGTGGGATCCCAGCTCCCCGACCAGGGATCGAACCCACACCCCCTGCACTGGAAGGCGAAGTCCCAACCACTGGACCGCCAAGGAAGTCCCTAAAATTCACCACTTTAAAGTGAACCATTTAGTGCCATTGAGTACATTGATACTGTGCAACCACCAACTCGTGTTTCCGAAAAGTTTCCATCACTCCAAAATCGAAGCCTACTTATGCTCATTCTTTAATCATAGGGATTTTTTCCCATATTGTTGTCTCCTCTCTGTTTTCCTTCCTCTTGTTTCACCTCACCACTCCCTTCTAGACGGCCCCTAGGGTCCCATAGGAATCCTCCCCCTACGCGGCTCTCTTCGGCCCTGAGTTGGTCAGGTTTAGATGCTGTAACAGGAGTTCCCTGGTAGCCTAGTGGTTTGGATTCTGGGCTTTCAGTGCCATGGCCTGGGTTCAATCCCTGGTCAGGGAACATCCTGCAAGCTGCGTGGCCAAAAAAAAAAAAACCTGTAACAGAGAGACTCCTGAGAGAAAATAGCTTAAATAGTCACTGTTGCTCATTCCCCGAACAGTTCAGAAGTGAGAAACCGCAGTCCCTTCTCTTTTCCTTCTTCACCATCCTCTAGGCCCCAGGTGTTGATCTCATCAGTGTGATCAGAGCTGGGTCATGCCTACGTCCATATTCCAGCCAATTGGGAAGGAGAAGGAGCAGAAATGAAGGGCAAGCTATTTTTTCTTAAGCAAGTTTCACTTCCACTCACATCCCATTACTGAGGAATTAGTTGCTTGGCTACATCCAACTGCAAAGGAGGCTGGGAAGTATAATTTCTGCCTGGGTGGCACATACCCTGCTAAAACTCAATTACCAAAGAATATGGGAGAAGGGGATTTGGGAGCCCAACTAGCCACCTGCCAAAAATGGAAGAGGAAATTTGTAAGTTTGTGTAACCAAAAAATTCAGGACTTCAGGTCCGGCTTGACCCAGGATTTCAAACAATGTCACCAAGACTGAGTTGCTCTCTCTCCATCTCTCGGACCTGGTTCCTCTGTATTGACTTTATGCTCAAACATCTCTGTCCTTGGAATTGCAAAGGCTGCATCTCAGGCCCACATCCAGTGGGAAAGATCTTTCCCATTACCCTCTAACCCCCAAATCCCAAGATTCCTTCCACTTGGTGTGACTCACCATTTGCTCACCTTGACTCAATCACTGCGGCCAGAGACACCCACCATGCTGCTTTTTGAGTTAAATGAGTCAGAACTCTCAAGCTCTGCTCAAATAAGAAATCCAGCTGACTCACAGCTTTTCTTTTTCTCACGTATGTGGGAGAAGGGAGATGTGATGATCCTTTCCTGGTTTAACAAAGAAAATTTCCAAGTATTTCTTCCAGAAAACAGAGGCAGCACTTTAAATATTAATAGGGCAATAGATGAAGTATGACAACCAATCAAAATGACACATTGAGAGGGTACAGGTTAGTTTCACCGGGCACAGCAACAATGTCTGTAGTCTGTAGAAATCTCTTATGTGCTGAATAGGGTAGGGAAGTGAGAATGTACTTGTTACCCTTAACTTGATGAAATTTCCCTCAGCATCAGAACTTAGAGTGTTACTTTGATATATGCTTTTTATTGGAAAAGTTAGTGAAAAATTCCACTTTTTAGTGGACAATTTCAATCAAACACAGAAGTAGAGAATTGTATAATGAACCCAGCTTCAATAATTAACATTTTGCCTTTTTTTTTAATCCCACTATTTTTTTTTTCCTGGAATATTTTAAAGAAAATTCCAGCCATCATACCATTCACCTGTAAATTCTGGAAATAACTGAGGAAGTATCTCTAACACATGAGAACTTTTTTTGGGGCTTCTCACTGTTGTGGCCTCTCCCGTTGCGGAGCACAGGCTCCGGACGCTCACGGACCCAGCCGCTCCGCGGCATGTAGGATCTTCCCAGACCGGGGCACGAACCTGTGTCCCCTGCATCGGCAGGCGGACTCTCAACCACTGCGCCACCACGGAAGCCCCACATGAGAACTTTTAAGAAATAAAACTACAATGCCATTATAATGCCCAGCAAAATTAACAGTAACCCCTTAATAGCATCTAACCCGGTCATAGTCAATTTTCCCCAATGATCTAAAAATGTGTTTTACAGTTGGTTTGTTTGAATCAGGACCCACACGTTGCATTTGGTTGTTACGTCTTTTAATACCCTACATTTTTTCAGGCAATTTAAGAAACCAGGCCTTTTGTCCCATAGAATTTGGCTGTTTGCTTCTTCACAAAATCGATTACAACTTGTTCCTCTGACCCTATGTATTAGTCTGCTCAGGCCGCCATAATAAAATACCATAGACTGGGTGGCTTAAACAACAGAAATTTATATTCTCATAGTTCTGGAGGCTGGAAGTCCAAGATCAAGGTGTCAGCAGGGTTGGTTTCTCTCCTGGGCTTGCAGAAAGTACCTTCTCACTGTGTCCTCACATGGCCTTTTCTCTGTAGGCATGAGTGGAGAGAGAGATCTCAGGTGTCTCTTTCTCTTTTTATAAGGACACCAGTCCGATAGGATTAGGGACCCACCCTTATGACCTTGTTGAACCTTAATTATCTCCTTAAAGGCCCAAATACAGTCATGATGGGGGCTAGGGCTTCAACATATAAATTCTGTCCATAACACCCTATATTGCCTATAAACTGGTAGCGAGCTCTAGAAGCTTGGTTAAACTTAGACTCAAAAAAAAAAAAAAAAGAAAGAAAGAGGGCTTCCCTGGTGGCGCAGTGGTTGAGAGTCCGCCTGCCGAAGCAGGGGACACGGGTTCGTGTCCCGGTCCGGGAAGATCCCGCATGCTGCGGAGCGGCTGGGCCCATGAGCCATGGCCACTGAGCCTGTGCATCCGGAGCCTGTGCTCCGCAACGGGAGAGGCCACAACAGTGAGAGGCCCGCGTACAGCAAAAAAAAAAAAAACCAGGGAATTCCCTGGCGGTCCAGTGGTTAGGACTCCATGCTTCCACTGCAGGGGGCCCAGTTCCATCCTGGGTAGACTCAATCTTTTAGGCCCTTCATTGGTGGTACTTTCCCACTGTTAGTGATATTGCCAGTGCTGGTGATTGGTCATAAGTTCAGATGGTGTCAGCCTGAAAGCCAATTGTGTTCAAGATAGAATAGGATTATTAAAAGTGTGCCTTGGACCAAGCTTGCAATCTTTTGGATCCACATGAGTACAGCCCTGACTGTGGCCCGGGGAACCGGGACTGCTGAGCACTGTTGAGTATGCTGTGCACTGCCCAACTCTAGGGAGCACAGAAAGCCCCAACTGGCTCTGGCCTGGGTCACCTGCTTGCAGGGGAAGTTTATTGGGGAAGTTTGGCCACCAAGATGCTGCTGCAGTGTGAGCAGGGAGGGGACCCTGGGGGCAGCCGCATGTGTTCATTCCAAGCAGTTGTCAGAGCTGGTGCCTCGAGGCAAGGGAGGACACAGGGGCTGAGACCAAGGCCACCTGCTTACCAGTGGCTCTACTCCCTTGCAGTTGAGCATTGACAGTTGCTGGGTAGGCTCCTTCTACTGCCCCCAGACCAGCTTCACTGCTACCATCTATGATGCCATCGCCACCGAGAGCACCCTCTTCATTCGGCAGAACCAGCTCATCTACTATTTCACGGGCACCTATACCACACTCCATGAAAGCAACCGTGGCAGCGGTGAGGGGGCCCTGGCCAGGTCACATACCCGTGTGTCCTTGGCATCTTAGGCAAGGGGACCTGCCTGTTGGAGCCCCAGGGAGGGCGCCTCAGTGAATCCATCACTGGAGACGCCTGGGAATGGAATTGCCGTGAGCGGGGAGGGGGATGTTGGAGGGACTTCCCAAGCTCCTGAAGCATCGCTACCACCCTGCAGGGGCCTCCTCCTACCCTCTATATGCTGGGGTGAGGCTTTCATCCAGACCTTCCCAGGAGCTGTGAACCGACTAAGGGCAGAGAGAGGTGTGAGAGTGAAGGGAGGGAGCAGAGAGCAAGACACACGGGTGCACGCGCACTCACACACACGTGCAGAGAGAGAAAGACAAACCGGAGAGAGATGCATACAAGCGAGAAATGTGTGGGGTTGGGGAGTGGCAGAGAGTCAGAAAAAAGACATACAAAGAGAGAAACAGAGATGGGCCGTTGGAGAGGCAGTGCCATGAGGGAGATTGATCAGAGAGGAAAAAGAGAGACTTTTGATTCAGCCTCATCTGTTAAATGATACCAAAGCCCTAGCTCTTCTCACCTTCTGCCCCTGCCCTATCTAAATGAAAGATGTCAACTTATAGAGTCACAGAAACTTGTACTGTAACCCATATTCCATTAGTTAGTGAGTGTTCCCAACAGCTTTATTTTTCTCCCTTTCTTTCTTAGGGCACTTTGACAGTGGGAAGGACCAAGTTAAAAGAGATTTAAGTCAAAGATGGGTGTTTATTGGCTCAGATAGCTGGAAAACCCAGGAGCATGTTGTTTTCAGGCACAGCTGGATCTAGGGGCTCACTGCAGCTGTTAGGCCCATCTTTGTGGTACTGCCCCCACTCCATCCAGCAACTGCAGGCTTTTATGCCGGGGGTGGAGGTGGGGGGCAGGAAAGAATATCTCTTTGTTAGTGGTTGCAGGCTGAGAACTGTCTCTGATTTGCCCAGCTTGGTCACATGCCCAGTTCAGAATCCATCCTCTGGCCAGGGGAATAGAAGAGTGGGGTCAGCCCAATCTGAACCTTGTGGGCAGAGTGTGAGCGGGGGTGGGGGGATTTTCGCAAAGGCAGCTGGGGCCCTATACCAAGGGCCCCTCAGATGCCACACTGAACAGTCACTGCAGTGGGAGAAGACAGATAACGGGCTCATTAAGGCCTGGAAAATGTGGATGGGGGCCCAGGTGCCAGGCTCAAATGTCTATGCTGGCCCCCACAGAGAGATGGGTCCGTGTCCTGGCTAACGAGTGCATCAAGAAGTTGTGCCCTGTACATTTCCATAGCAATGGCTCCGAGTATGTCATGGCCCTCACCACTGGCAAGCACGAAGGTTACGTCCACTTTGGGACCATCACGGGTAAGGTTGGTACCTGGTACCTCCGTACCCTCTCACTTCTAAGAATTCTGGCCCCAGGCCCTCACCCCTCACCATATTCCTTCAGGAGGGGTCCCAGGCTGGAGGTTCTCCCTGTGAGTCGTTATGGGTTTACGCCTTTGTAGGGGCAGGGCTTGGGGTGTGTTATGTATCTTTTACAATGTGTTTGGTTTCAAAGGGTAGAAGCCCAATTCAAAAATCACTTAAGCAGGGACTTCCCTGGCAGTCCAGTGGTTAAGACTCTGGGCTCCCACTGCAGGGGGTGCAGGTTCGATCTCTGGTTGGGGAAATAAGATCCTCACATACTGCGTGGTATGGCCAAAATTTTTTTTTAAAAATCGTCTAAGCATAAAAAATGTGTAGACATATAAATGAAAAGACCAGGATCCAATGTCAGGCATAGCTGGATCCAGGGGCTTACAGGGTATATCCTCAGGACTCTGTCTCTTGGCAAGGTAGTATAGCATAGGGATTATAGCACAGGTTCTGGAGAGAGACTGCTCTAACACACCAACTCAAGTCACTGGCGGCTTTGGATAGGTGACTTAACCTCTCTTTTTGGTCTCGTATCCTCATTTGCAAAATGGGGCTGATAGTACTAACTAGTACCTGCCTCATCGTGTCGATATAAAGATTAAATAGACATATATAGGGTCTTAGGAGAGTGCTAGGGACATGGTACTATTCAAGGGTTTATCATTGTTAGCCCTGTGATTTGGCTTCATTTTCAGGTGGATATTCCCCTCACGAGGGTTAGAGATGGCCTCCAGGAACTTGGGGCTGACATCTCCCACCAGTCTGAGTCACCCCGAGAGAGTGAGAGTGGACTCTTCCCCACTGGCTCTAGCAGAAATCCCAGGGTGCACTCTGATGGGCCCATTCTGGGTCACATGCTCAGACCTGAGCCAATTACTGTGACCAGAGACAGACATATTCTCTTTTTCTTAACTTTTTTAAAGAATTTATTTAGGGCTTCCCTGGTGGTGCAGTGGTTGGGAGTCCGCCTGCAGAGGCAGGGGACACGGGTTCGTGCCCCGGTCCGGGAGGATCGCACATGCCGCGGAGCGGCTGCGCCCGTGAGCCATGGCCACTGAGCCTGCGCGTCTGGAGCCTGGGCTCCGCAACGGGAGAGGCCGCAACAGTGAGAGGCCCGCGTACCGCAAAAAAAAAAATTATTTATTTATTTGTTCTTGGCTGTGTTGGGTCTTCGTTCCTGCGCGCGGGTTTTCTCTAGTTGCAGCGAGTGGGGCTACTCTTCATTGCAGTGTGTGGACTTCTCATTGCGGTGGCTTCTCTTGTTGTGGAGCATGGGCTCTAGGCGCGCGGGCTTCAGCAGTTGCAGCACGCAGGTTCAGTAGTTGCGGCTCGTGGGCTCTAGAGCACAGGCTCAGTAGTTGTGGCGCATGGGCTTAGTTGCTCGGTGGCATGTGGGATCTTCCCTGACCAGGGCTCGAACCTGTGTCCCCTGCATTGGCAGGTGGATTCTTAACCACTGCGCCACCAGGGAAGTCCAGGCAGACATATTCTTTTTTTTGTTTTGTTTTGTTTTGTTTTGCGGTACGCGGGCCTCTCACTGTTGTGGCCTCTCCCGTTGCGGAGCACAGGCTCCGGGCGCGCAGGTTCAGCGGCCATGGTTCACGGGCCCAGCCGCTCCGCGGTATGTGGGATCTTCCCGGGCCGGGGCACGAACCCGTGTCCCCTGCATCGGCAGGCGGACTCTCAACCACTGTGCCACCAGGGAAGCCTGGCAGACATATTCTGATAGGCCAGTTGTGAATGACTGAAAGGCCAGTTGGGTGAGAGCTGCCCCAGGGAATCCTGGGACTAAGAAGGAGGCACAGGCATAATTGGAGAGCCGGTGTGGTGGGGTGCCAGACAGGCTGGGAAGGGCCTGAGCTTTGACCTGCCCTGCTCTGCAGATGGCCGCGTGTCCTTCGAGTTGCTGCCCAGGCAGCGGTCCGTGTGCAATGGGATACTAGGTACCCAGCTCCCAGATGGGTCTGCAGTGGGCAGGGGGTGAGGTGGGTTTGGGGGGGTTGAGGGGGAATCGAAGGTGTGGGAGAGCAGGGAAGGGTGGGAGAGGTCATAGGACAGGATGGGCAATTTCTTGGGGATGGGTGGAGAGTCACTGGGATAGATGTGGCAGTCACAGAGACCATGGAGAAGGACGGGATCTGGGGGCTGCTCTGGACTTCTGCCTTCCCTACCAGTTGTCAACTGCTCCATAACCTGGGCCGTATTCATTGCTGGTGACTACAATCTACTGCTGCTGGTGGAGATCGAAGACCCCTCCACCAGGAAGTATTTCCAGGTGGTCAGCTATGACCTGGGTAAATGGGGCGCCACGGGGGGGGGCAGGGGGCTGAGCGGGAAGGGGCAGGAGCTTGGAGTGTGAACTGCGGGCCCATCCTTTGGGATCTGTGCCCAGCAGACAGCTGGAAGGAAACGTTGCTCGTGCCACTGCTAGGTAAGGGGCAGTGGTGGAGAACAGGCCTTCTGGGCTGAAGAGCCTGAGAAGAAGTCAATGAGACTAGAGCAGAGGGGAAAGGGGAGGAGGGAGATTGGAGATGTGGGCAGACGCCAGACCTGGAAGGGCCTTGTGGCTCACAGTGAGGAGATTTGATTTGATTTGATGAAGTGAGAATAGGGCTGCCGTGTACAGCTGTTGAGGCTGTGCCTGGTGCTCCCCAGCCAAGGAGTCAGAGGAGGGAGGCAAGTCCTCTGCCCTAACAGGACTGTATCCTCTTAGAGGAAGTGTCTTTTTATTATTCACATAAAGAAATTCTAAAGATTAATGGGCCCAAATGGGAAGCTGTTGGAGGGTTTTGGGAGGGGTTGGGGAGCTGGGGACCTGCTCAGTTTCAGGTCTTGAAAGCTCAGGGCCTCAGGAGATTTTTGCTGTGTTTTCCCCACCTGTAGTCAGTGATTACCTGGTTGTCCTCTACACCATCCCGGAATTCATCCCTGACGGTAGGAGGGGAGGGAAGAGGGGGCTGAAAAAGTGGGGGGGGGGGCTAGGAGGGGCCCAAGTGACCCCATCTCACTGCTGTGTCCACTCTGCCTCTGCCCCTGCCAGCTCGAGGCCTGGAGTTCCTGATGGTCCTAGGGACAGAGTCTTACACCAACTTCCCGATGGTACCCAAGGGCATGTCCTACAACCCGTATAACAACCTGCTGTTCATCTGGGGCAACTTCCTCCTGCAGAGGTATGGGGCCGGGTACAATTTGGCCTCCCCAACCCCACTAGGATGGGGGTCCTTTCTGAAGTCACCAAGTTTTCAGAGTATGCCCAAGTCCAGAAGTTACCAGGACTGTGATGGGGGAAAATGGGCTGGGGTGGGCAGAGATGGGATGCGGGAAGCTGGTAGTTTAAAGCTGGGAGCCCTTTCTTAGATGAAACCTGATGTGAGGACCTAACCTATGTGAGCAATAGAACGGCATTGTCCGGGGAAAGGTAAGGATGCTTTTCACCCCTCAGGAATCCAGGGGCCCCAGAGCCAACTCCATGGGCTGTTGGCAAACTGCCAGTTTGGTTGACCCTTCCTGTTCACTGATGGGCAGGTCAGCCAGAGGGTTTGGAGTGTGGCGCAGAAACTGGAGTCCCAGGCCTCCTTTGCGTGTTCTCACAAGGCTGGTGGAGAGCTGAGTAAATGGTTCCTGCATCGTGTCAGGCCTATTTGGGGAAGCAGATATCCCCCAGGGCCTTGCCTGGTGCCCCTACCTCCCACCTCTGCCCCTGCAGCTATAACAGTGAAGACTTCATCTACCTGGCGGACTTCCCCAAGGAGCTGTCCATCAAGTACCTGGTCAACTCGTTCTATGGGGACACGGCTATTGTCACAGAGACTGAGGAGGTGGGCTGCCCTGCCCCTCTCCCCACTTCTTTTCTGCCCACCCCCAAATCCCAAGGGTTTCCCTTCTTCCCCTGTCAGGGTAAAGGGGCCCAGGAGAGGGAACGTCCTCAGGGACCCAGGGGAAGGGCAACGAAAGCTCCATTTATAGCTGAGAACCCTCAAACTCAAAAAGGATAAGTACCTTTCCAAAGTCACTCAGCAGAGTGAAAAACCTGTGCTCAGAGTCATGTCATTTCCAGAGGGGGTCCTCTTTCATTCCATCGTGCAGTTCAGTTCATAAATATTGAGGGCTTAGTGTATGTTTGATCCAGTGCTGGAGACACAGTGGCCAATGAATCAGTCCTGGGCCCTGTCCTCACAGGGTCCCAGTCCAGTTGGGAAGATGGACTCATTCCCAGACTGTGACGGTTCAGAGCAGCCAGGGCTGCAATGCGGAAACAGCATCAATGGAAGTTCAGACCCGGTCTGGGGGTGTGTGTGTCAGTGAGGGCTTCACAGAGGAGGCCACATGGAGGGGGGACATGCTGGAGGCTGGAGGGGATCCTCCAGGTTGAAGCTAAGGAGGAGGTGAGATCTAGAGCAAAATGTGTTGGGGGATGAGACGGTGGGCAATAGTGCAGAGATGGGAAACTGAGGCCAAGGGGAGGGTGCAAAGAGTGAGAAGGAAAAACGAGGGCTCATTCCTTGGATCCCAGGCCTCCAGGGAGTGTATATATTAGGAATGGTTACATTGCAAGTAATAGAAACTCAAGCAGACTAAAACACTGAAGAAATTTATCATGGCGAGTGAGGGCTGTAAGCACAGGTGTTTGGGTCTGGGAAGTAGAGAGATGGCTTAACCCGATCCCAGCTGGAGGTGAACTCCCAGGCTTCACCCCTCAGGGAATGGGGCCCTCACACTCGGCAGAGCGAGAGGTGGGGGTCACAGGGCCCATGGCCCTCACACACACACACCCAGCTGTCTCACCCCCAGATCTGGTACCTCCTGGAGGGTAGCTACCAGGTGTACAAGCTGTTCCCATCCAAGGGCTGGGAGGTGCACGTCAGCCTACAGGTGATGCAGCAGTCCTCTCTCTACGCCCCCAATGAGACCATGGTCACCCTCTTCTACGAAGACCACAGACTATACCAGGTGCTAAGCGGGGGCCTATGGGGGAGACATGGGGAAGCTGCAGGGCCGCTCATGTGGCCCTGCCTTCTCGCTGCAGCTGGTGTACCTTATAGACAACCAGCAGGGCAGGCTCGTCAAGAGGCTTGTGCCTGTGGGGCAGCTTCTGATGTACCAGCAGGTCAGCAACGACTACCTCTTGGAGCGGCAAGGGTGAGAAGATACTGGACCACAGCAGCAGTCAGAGCCTTAGGCGCTGCCTGTGGGAAGCTCCCATTCGGGGGGTGGGGGTGGGGTGGAGATCAAGCCATCCCCAGTGACAACCGCTGGGCTCAAAGGAGGGGTCTGACCCAGCCTGGGGACAGGGTGCATCAGGGAGGGCTTCAAGGAGGAAGAGGTGCATGAGCTGTGACCTGAAGGGTGAGGAAGAATTGACCAGGTGATAGCATGGGGCAGGGTGTTTCAGACAGGGGGAACCACATGTGCCAAGGCCCCGGGGAGGAAAGGAGATTGCCTGATCAAAGAACTGAGAGAATGCGGTGCTGTTAGAGTGCAGTGGTGGCGGGGTGGACAAGGTGAGCCTGGTGGTCACAGGGAGGAACTTGGACTTCATCTTGAGGGGCCTGGGGAACCACCATGGGACTAAGGGGAGGGGCTCCATGGTCAGATTTTACCGTGTTCAGCAGTGCTCACCTGCAGAGGAGCCCAGGGAGGCAGCGGGGGGAGGGGGGAGGGGGGAGGACACTTTGGAGGTCGAGTACCGTGGAGGGGGTGGGGGAGAGTCTAGGATGAGGTCCAGGACTCTGGCCTGTGCGGCCGAGGGCCGACCACGTGAGCGTGTGCAGGGGCACCAGGGGCTGAGGCTGAGGGGGAAGGGCAGGGATGGATTAGCCTTGAGTAGTCAGCAGCGCAGGGGTGGTAAGGGGGCCTGCGGAGGCTCCTGGTGCACGCACGGAAAAGTCAGCCGCCGTCCTCCACTACCGCCGCTCAGGAGCCACCTGACGCTCTCCTTCACCAACTTCTGCCCCTTCACGGTGATGCGTCTGCGGGACCTGCCCAACCCGCAGATCTACACGCGCCAGGAGCGCTACCGGGCGCAGCCGCCGCGTGTCTTGGAGCCCGGGGGCTTCCACAGCGACAACTCGCTCGCTGTCTATCAGGGCCTCGTCTACTACCTGCTTTGGCTGCACTCGAAGTACGACAAGGTGGGCGCCTGGCGGCGGCCGGGGCCATCCGGGCCGGGTCTTGTGTGAGGCGGGACCGCAAAGGCGTAGAAGGCAAGGCCTGCGTGGCCGGGAGAACCGCCGCGGAGGGCGGAGCAGAGCAGAGCCGCCTCGGTGCGTCCGAGGCTAAGGCGGGCTGGAGAGGGGGTCGAGCACGGCTCGGGGGGATGGCTTTGGGGGTGTGGCAGTCGGGCTGAAAGCGGGGCTTGGGGCCGCTTTCAGGGTCAGGGGCTGGGACTGAGGCTAGGAAGGGCTCGGAGGGTACTGCCTGCCTGGGCACGCCCCTTGGCCCCCCTCAAGGTGCCGGCGGTCCCCACAGCCATATGCGGACCCGGTGCACGACCCCACCTGGCGCTGGTGGAAGAACAAGAAGCAGGACCAGGTGCGTGGAGAGGGTGGCGAATCGGTGGGAGGGCCGAGCCCGGATCCCCCATCACCGTCCCCCTGTCCGGGCACTGTCTTTGCCCCGCATCCCGTCCCCCAGGATTACTACTTCTACCTGGCCAGCAACTGGCGGAGCGCTGGCAGTGTGCACGTTGACATGGCCAGCTACGAAAAGATCTACGACCTTAAGGCTGAGAACGAGCTGCCCGAGCGCATCTTCCTGGACAAGGGCACCAGCTACCGCTTCTCGGTCTTCCTGACGGCCCGGGAGCCGGAGCCCCTGCACGGTCTGTGGGCGGGGCCGGGTGGAGCCTTAGGGGCGGGGCTTCTGTCGGGTGCGGCGCCCTGACCCCTCCCTCTGCTCCAAGCAGGCCCCTCCTTCCAGGTGCAGAGCAAGGTGGGCCTGGCTGTGGTGCTGGCCGACCCGGAATGCATCGAGGCGGTGGTGAAGGAGAAGGTCCTTGTTAATCGCAACTCGGTGCTTTTCTGGGTGAGACCAGGTGGAGGGGAGGAGCTGAGGTGACGGCGGAGCTACTGAGGCAGTGGACCTGTTAGAAGCCCGCGGTTATTTGAACTGTCCCTGGGTCCTCCCGCTGGCCCGCTGACCCCTTCATTTCTGCCCCCACCCCCAGGTTACGCTCAGTGATAAAAGGTTTTGCTTTGATCAGGGCATTAGTGGACATCACCTCATGAAAACCTCCATGCTCCTCAAGGTGCGGTCCAAGCCTGGAGGGGAGGGATGCGGATGAGGGAGAAGACTGGGCCCGTGGGGTCCACCAGTCATCATCTCCTACTCACAGGTGGCGGGCTCGTCCGGGCACTGCTTCCAGAACACGCACCAGGGGCCCCGCATGCAAGTATTGGACTTGGGGTACTGGGCCCTGTGCTGGGAGGGAAGGGGTTGGGTCGAGTCTCAACAGGGCAGAACCCGAGGGCTCCTTCTGGGAATCCCTTGAATGCCTTCCTAATTTCTTCTTTCTCGTTCATTTTCATCATTCACCCGCCCAGCCACCCACCCCCTCCTTTAATCCATTCGTGTTTTCAGAAAGGGCTGCTTAGTGTAGCTTGCACACAAGCTTGTATGTTCCTTCTGATACTTTTCTGCAGGGAGAAGTAAAGTATCTGCCACACAGGGCTTCTTTTTCCAATTGGCACAAAGGTGGCACGTGGGCCAGCTTGGCCCTTCCTTCATACCTCGCTCTTCCTTTGCCTGTTCACATGTGTCTTGTTCAAGCCTTTGGGTCCTTGGTTCTTCACTTGCTTACACATGCAGTATCCCCTTTGCATAGAGGCAAACACTGTGGCTCAGAGAGATGAAGACATAATGCTCAGAGTAACCCTGGAAGCTGATAAGTGGTAGAGGAAGCCTTGTTCTCACCCACTTCCCTGCCCACTCTCCAGGAGACAGACCCTGGTGCTTCTTCCTCCTGGGTTGGTATGACCCAAGGCAGTTAAAAAAAGGGGCTTGTCGGGCTTCCCTGGTGGTGCAGTGGTTGAGAGTCTGCCTGCCGATGCAGGGGACACAGGTTCGTGCCCCAGTCCGGGAGGATCCCACATGCCGCGGAGCGGCTGGGCCCGTGAGCCATGGCCGCTGAGCCTGCACGTCCGGAGCCTGTGCTCTGCAACGGGAGAGGCCACAGCAGTGAGAGGCCCCCGTACAGAAAAAAAAAAAAAAAAAAAGGGGGGGGGGCTTGTAACAGCTCCCAACTCCTTGGATTACATGGAATATTTGGGGTCAAATTCAAGGAAAAGTGACTGACCTCAGCCCAATAACAATTTCCTTCTATCCTTAGTGATATGCATTATTTTTAAGGTCTTTACCTTAACCCCAGAAAGTCAAAGTTAACATCTCCATTTTTTTTTTTTTTTTTGCGGTACGCGGGCCTCTGCAGGTTCTGAGGGAGAATCTGTTCTGTGCTCTCTCCTAGCTTCTGGTGGTCGTTGACAGCCCCTGACATTCATTGGCTTGTAGATGCATCACTCCAATCTCTGTCTCCATCTTCACGAGGCCTCCTCCCTATGCGTCTGTGTCCAAATTTCCCTCTTCTTATAAGGACACTGGTCATTGGACTAGGGTCCACCCTAATCCAGTGTGACCTCATCTTAACTTGATTACATCTGTAAAGACCCTCTTCCAAATTAGGTCACATGGGCAGGTACCAGGGAATTAGGACTTCCCTGGTCCTAATATCTTTTTGGGACACACAATTCAACCCAGAACAGAGAGTCAGATAATAAGCAAGAGAAATAAAAGATATTGTATGTTAAGGGCAATGAGTGCTAGGAGAAAACAGTAGTGAGCAAGGGGCCTGGGGTAGGTTAGCATTTTCCATAGGATGGTTCAAGGAAGACCTGGCCGAGGAGGAAACATTTGAGCAAATACTTGAAGGAGGGGAGGAAGTGAGCATGCAGTTATGTGCCGGAAAGCATGTCAGAGAGAGGGGACAGATGGCAGAGGCCTGGAGGCAGGAGTATGTTTCATGTGTTAAACTAAAGGAACAGTGGGGAGCAGGCATGGCTGGATCAGGGCTAGCAAGGAGGACCATGGAGAGAGATGAGGTCAAAGCGGTGATGGGCAGGTCACATGGGTGGCATCTGAGCAGAGGAGCAACTCAGGTGTTCACAGAGTCCCTCTGGCTTCATGTGGGAGACAGCCTGGGGGGAGGGGCGGGAGCAGGGAGGAAATGGGCCAGCCAGGGTGGAGCAGAGGAGTTGGGGGTTTGGGGAAGGGAATAGCTCTATTTTGAAGTTTAGAGACAATGGTATTTCTGGATGGACCGCATGTGGGGGTGAGAGAAAGAGAGGTTTCCAGGATGAGGCCAAGGCTTTTTAGCCTGAACTTGCAGGGACGAGGTGCCATAAACAGAGGTGGCCTGTGGATAGATTGAATCTGAGACACCCATTAGACCTCCCAGTGATTCAGTGGCTGATAGGTGTAAAGTCTTTGGCTCAGGCGAGCATGGGAACTGCTTAATCTGTGGCCACGACGCCTCTTCGCGGTAGACATCAAGCCCAGCCCACAGTCTCCAGATGTCCATGTCCTTTTGACAATTGGGTGAAATCCTTGGGCCCTACCCCCAGAATGGGCCAGAAGCCTTTCATTCCCAATGACAATGTCATGCGAGTTCCCAGATCCCTAACCCCCATCCTGGGCTCTACTTCCCTCATATACCCCATGCTTCCCCCAGCTCTACTGTCTGAGAATTCAGTCTCAACCTCAGCCCTTTATTTTATTTTATTTTTTAAAAATTAATTTTTTTGCCATGCTGCGAGGCTTGCGGGATCTTAGTTCCTCGACCAGGGAGTGAACCTGGAGTCATGGCAGTGAAAACCCGGAGTCCCAGCCACTGAACTGCCAGGGAATTCCCTCAACCTTGCAAGTCCTTGCTTCATAGGTGCAGGTGTTAGTGGTTTTGTATGTCTTATTCTGGAGGCAGTTGGAAGCAACCTGTCTCAGTTTGAATCCCAGCTCTACCACTTACCAGCTGTGTGGCTTTGGATAATTAATAAGTGACTTGACCTCTCTGTGCTTCCCTTTTGCCATCTCTAAAATGGAGATATTAATGGTCTGTATCATACAAGGTTGTTTTGAGGATTAAATAAATTTGAAGATGTAAGGCACTGAGGCCATTCCTCAGTGCCTTGTGCATAGCAAGAGCTACTTAAGTGTTTGCAGTTATTATTGTTTTAACGATCATAATAATAATCACCTTGCCCTCTGGTGAGGGTGAGCCTGGCAGGTAGGGGTGGTGTGTGTGGGAGGAGGGGTGTCTTCCCTGCCCCACCCCTAGAGCCAGGCTTTTCTCCTCCCATTCAGGGCAACCTGATGGTGCCAGTACTTATCGGCTGCCCCCCAGGCAAGCGCCTTGCCTTTGACATCACCTACACGCTGGAGTACAACCGCCTGCAGAACAAACACTACTTTGACTGCGTGCACGTCGACCCCGAGATGCCCTGTTTCCTCTTCCGCGACAGTGCGTGTCCAGCCCCCTCCTCTCAATGTTCAGTGTCCTCTGCCCCCACTACTTTGCCCTCCCAGGCCTTTCCTCCTCGCCCGCTCACTGCCCCAGCACCCTCTGCTCTTCCCCTTGGAACACTCGTCTCTCCTTCTTCCCCTCTCCATCCTCCACTTCCGAGCTAATTTCTCCTCCCCGCCTCAACTCCTCTGACCCCACAGTCTTCTACCCATTCTTCTTGATCCAAGATTTGGTGACGGGAGATTCTGGCAGTTTTCAGGGCAGGTAAAGTCGTGGCCAAGCCGGCGGCTGACAGGAGTGAGGTGGGGAGTCGGGGGGTGGGGTGGGGGAGGAAGGGGGGGGAGGAAGTGGGGGTGGAGGTGGTAGAGGTGATGCAGGACTCCGGACAGTCCATGCGCACCTCTGCTCCCGGCAGCTACGTGCTGAAGGTGGTGGGCGGCGGGCCCACCCAGGACACCATCAAGGAATACAGCGAGGAGGATATCTACCGCTTCAACAGCCCCCTGGACAAGTAATCCCTGTGGGACCGGGCCCATAATCGGCCTTTCTTCCCCTGCAGGCCCCTCTATCTTCCCAGCCACAGACCAACCCTGGGCTGCAAACCCCGCCCATCTTGGTGTCTCAGGCCCCACCCACAGCCCAGGCTCCTAGCATCCCGCATACTCGGCCCCGCCCACGGCAGGAGGTTCCGCTCACCCAATCCCCCCCACTGCCGCCTCTCCCTTTGGGGCCTCTGCCCGCTGAGGCCCCGGCCCCACTGAGGTTACCCCTTCCTGCACAGGACTGGCAGCCTCATCTGGACCACAAGAAACACAACGACCACCGAGGACTCAGCCTTCAACATTTTGTCCCACAGCAGTTTGGGCATTGAGTGAGTGCTGGGCCGACTGCACGCCCCCTTCTCCCCCACAGTCTGTCGGGCCTGTCCATCCCTTCTGCCTCTGGGAGACCTCCTGGTCCTCAAGCTATACTGACTGCCTTTGCGGTCCTCAAATGAGACCGATCTCTACACAAGCTGGACCCTCTGTCTGCAGGACTGGTCCCTCTTAATCTTTCTTCAGGCCTTAGTTCAGATGCCACTTCAACCAGGAGGACTTTTCTGACTGTTCTAGATGGGACAGTTTTGCTCTCATGTCCTCTTGTACGTTCCCCATTCTCACCTGACCGCTCTGCCTGTGCTTCCTCCTTCCCAGCCCTTACCCCTCTGAGCTGTCACTGTCTCCTGTGGGGTCTGTCTCCCTTATAGTCCAGGTCCAGAATAGACAAATAATATTTGTTGAATGAGATAATGAACAAGTTAATTCATCCATGGTAGACATTTATTGACATTTGAATGGAGGTATTAATGAATGAATAAAACAATGAAGGAATAAGTTAGTATAGGGGGAATTCTCTGGTGGTCCAGTGGTTAGGACTCAGTGCTTCCACTGCTGCGGGGGCCTGGGTTCAATCCCTGGTCGGGGAACTAAAATCCCGCAAGCTGTGAGGCACCGCCAAAAAAAAAAAAAAAAAAGCATGTAGGGCCTCAATAACTGGCCCTATAATAATGAAACGAAGAAAATGATGCCATGACCAAATGAAGGAAGTGAATGAACAAAGGAGCCAACTTGCACCTATTCAGTATTCAACCTGCGTTTATTGAATATATGAATGAAGATGTGACTTTGTACCTAGTAGCTGCTCCAGATTCACTTGTGGGATGAAGGAATAAAGGTAGCAAAGAATAAATGAGGAGGTGGCACATAATAGGTATACAATCCATAATCTAGATGAATGCATAGTAACAGAGGAATTGACAGCTGGAGATGTAAGGACATGAGGACATGAATGAGTAAACAGCCTGTCACCTGGTAGGGGTTCAGTCAGCCTTATTGGCTAAAGTGGGCGAAGGAGTGAATCAGGGAGAAAGGTAGGAGATTGCACCTAGTTAGTACTCACCCAGAGTCTGTGGGGTAGAGGGGAAGGTCAGGGATTGGCACGTGCTAGGCATGATTTGTACTACAAGTGCCTGAACTTGGGCCCCCAGGTGGCTCTGTATGGAGAACTCCCCATGCCATGACACCATTCCACACAGCATCTTTGCCTCCGAGTTCTTCTTCAAGGTGTTGGTGAGCAATAGGTGAGCCAGACACATGGCCCAGGTGGGCTCTGGGGCTTCCTGTGGGGTGACCACCTCCTCCCCGATCCTGAACCCCATCCCCCAACAGAGGTGTGGACAAGAGCACGTACTGCGACTACCAGCTCACCTTCCAGCTGCACATCCACGGGCTCCCACTCAGTGCCAGGCGGGCCTTCCTCATCCTCACGGTGAGTGGCTGCCCTGGAGCTGCCCTGCTGCGTGGATGGGGGCCCCCAGGCTGCCCACCCATGCCTGTTGTGTGGTGCCTGCAGGTGTCAGCCAGCCTGTTTGTTGGTCTGGTGATCCTCTACGTCATCTCCTGCCTCCTGTCGCCCTATGTGGTGAAGGTCTGCAACGTCCTCTGCTGGAAGATCAACAACATCATCGCCTGGGAATCTTACATCTACAGTATCGCCTCCGACACCAGGGCCTTCAGCAACACCTCTGGGACCAAATCTGGGGAGAGCTCTGGGGGCATCTCCAGAGTTGTCTCCATGGTGGCAGGGGAGAACAAGACTGACACTAAGGAAACCTTGAGGAAGAAGCCAATATCCTGAGCCTCTTACCTGCCCCAACTGCCACCCACCCTCATCCCTCGTTTCCTGGGCCACTTTGAACATGCAACCTGTCGCTCGCTCATCCCAGGCCTTTCTCCCTGTTTTGCTTGAATTTTCACTTCGCATTTCAACACCAGCTGTGGGACCTTGTAAGGACTCATGTTCAATTAGTTTGTACCACTCAGCCACATAAGTTATAAAATATCAAAATCCTTCTGTGCCAAACTGGTAAATACTGGCTTCTCTGTGTGCCTGCCTACTCAGCCCCTCCCCAGAGTGCCCCTGACCTCCCGACAGTCCAGCAGGGTCCTCCATGACCCAGGCCCGTTGCTATGACCTGCAGTCTGTTCTGATTGTTCAGTGCCCAGGTTTAACACTAGTTGTTAAATATTTTGAATGGCAACACGTATCTAGTGTCTGTCTTAAGCAGGGGGCTCTGGAGAGGTTAGAATTTTTGTTTTAGTTGCAAGTAGCAAAAATTTCACTCAGTGGTCCATATGGAAATGGTAATTTATGAACTTTGTTAATATAGGCTTCAGGTACAGTTTGATCCAGAAGTCCTCAATGTCCATAGGATTCTGGCTCCATTTGTCTACCTTTCCCTGCTCCGCCCTTCTCTGAGGGTGGTCTCTGACCTCAGACCAGCCCACTTCACCATCTGAGGCTGCACATCCACATGTCTTACTGTCCAGAGAAAAAAGGAGCTGAAGTCCAACATTCCCAGGCAAAAGTCCTGTCAGTCACTCTGATTGGGTGGGGTTGGGTCATAAGCTCACTACTTTACCACTCACTCTGCCAGACAGATGGGACCTTGATTGGGTTAAGCCCTTCAGAGCCCACCCCTGGAGCTGAGGGTTGTCAATCCCTCCCTAATCTCTTGCTTATGTGTGGGGAAAGGCAGCTCTTGTAAGGAACATGTGTGTCAAGAAGGGGAAAAGGACAGACCGAAAGGCCAAAAGCAAATGTGCCTTTGTACTCCACTCCCTGTCCACCCAATAGGCTCAACTCCAGCCCCTCCCCAGAGGTCTTGGGTGAAGGGACTATGCAGGTCCTCTAATCACCCCCTCCACTCCTTCACTGTAGAAGCAGAGGCCCAGGGGACACACCCTCTGAGGGAACACCAGGGCAGACAGCTGGACCAGTTTGTCCGTGATGAGGCAGCATAGCTCCGGAGCAGGCAAGGCCACTGAGGTCACATTATAGAGCTTAGGAATTATCAGAAGAGCATTCAAGCTGAGAAGCTGAAGGACATGTTCAGATGTAGAAAGATGCTCTGGCTGCCCTGTGGAGGATGGCTCAGGACTCGAGGCAGTAGGCCAGGGACCTGAGCAGGAGGGGCTGGCTGGACCAAAGCCTGGTGTGGGAAGGAGAAGAAGGGACAGGCGGGAGGGATGCTTAGGAGGCCAAGTGAACAGGCTGTGAAGCTGACAGGCCATGGAAGGAGTGGGAGCAAGGGGGGCGTTTAGGAAAAGGTCCAGGACTCTGCCCTGGGGACTGGGGGACAAAGAGGCTGTCCCTGAGATGAGGACTGGGGAGAAGGAACAGGTTTGGGGGAGACACTTAGGCCATTTGGGGTCATGGTTGGTGTGGGAGGTCTGACAGTCTTCTAGAGGAGCCTGTCCAGGAGGCTGTGGAAACCCGAGGTCTGGGGCTCAGGAGGGAGGTCAGCGATGGCCAAGCAATCCACACAACAGTCAGTGGTACAGATACATCTATCAACGAACTTCATTGTATTGATGCGATTAAGGAGAATGTGATGAGATAACATCCTGGGTTTTCTGTTTGTTTTTTGGGTTTTTTTTTTTTGTGGTACGCAGGCCTCTCACTGTTGTGGCTTCTCCCGTTGCGGAGCACAGGCTCTGGACGCACAGGCTCGGCGGCCATGGCTCACGGGCCCAGCCGCTCCGCGGCATGTGGGATCTTCCCGGACCGGGGCACGAACCCGTGTCCCCTGCATCAGCAGGAGGACTCTCAACCACCGCGCCACCAGGGAAGCCCAACATCCTGTTTTGACCTAAGTCCATTCAGGCTGCTGTAACGGAAGACCATAGACTGGGTGGCTTACAAACAACAGAAATTTCTCAGAGTTCTGGAGGCTGGGAAGTCCAAGACCAACGCGCTGGCAGATTCGGTGTCTGGTGAGAACCTGCTTCCTGGTTCATAGATGACCATCTTTTTACTGTGTCCTCACATGATAGAAGGGATGAGGAAGCTCACTGAGGTCTCTTTTATAAGGACGTTAATCTCAAATATGAGGGTTCTGCCCTCACAGACTAATTGCCTCCTGATACCATTACATTGGGAGTTAGGTTTCAACATAGGAGTTTGTGGGGAACACAAACTTTCAGTCCATAGCAGATCCCTTTTCTTAGATTATCAAGTAATCTTCATGATGTTCTATCAGGAAAATTCTATCATTGTCCCCATTTCATAGATGAAGAAACAGAGACTCAGGTGTGGAAACATGTATGATTACATGAATAGGTACCTGAAAAATCTTTTTATAAAATTCAACATCCATTCCTTATATTAATTCTAAGTCAAATAGAAATAGAAGGAAACCGTTTGAGCAAGATTATCAAATTACCTGATTACCAAAGACACATGGGACTTCCCTAGTGGCGCAGCGGTTGGGAATCCGCCTGCCAATGCAGGGGACACCGGTTCGAGCCCTGGTCCGGGAAGATACCACATGCCGCGGAGCAGCTAAGCTTGTGCGCCACAACTACTGAGACTACACTGTAGAGCCTGCGAGCCACAACTACTGAGCCCACACGCCGAGAGCCTGTGCTCCACAGCAAAGCCACCACAATGAGAAGCACGTGCATTGCAACAAAGAGTAGCCCCCGCTCACCGTAACTAGAGAAAGCCCACGCGCAGCAACGAAGACCCAATGCAGCCAAAAATAAATAAATAAACAAACAAGAAAAACAAAGACAGATGGCGTATGGCATATGGCAGTTAAATGCCAAAGCCATTTTCATTAAAATTTTATAGGTAGAGTCCACACGTATGAAAAACTAGAGCTAATAAATGCGTTCAGCAAAGTTGCAGTACACAAAATCAACACACAAAAATTGGTCGCATTTCTATACACCAGCAATGAATACTCTGAAAAGGAAATTTAAAAAAAAAAATCCTATTTACAACATCAACAACAAAAAGAGTAAAAGTTTTAAGAATAAATTTATAGGGACCTCCCTGGTGGTCTAGCGGTTAAGACTCTATGCTCCCAATGCAGGGGGCCCGGGTTTGATCCCTGGTCAGGGAGTTAGATCCCGCATGCTGCAACTAAAGATCCCGCGGGCCACAACTAAGACCCGGCGCAGCCAAATAAATAACTATTTAAAAAATAAATTTACGCAAGGAGGAAAAAGACTTGTATAGTGAAAGCTACAAAACATTGCTGAAAGAAATTAAAGAAGACTTAAATAAATGGAAGAATATCCCATGTTCATGAATTAATATCGTCGACAATACTATCTGAATTAGTTTGCTAGGGCTGCCATATGGAAATATCACAGACTGGATAGCTTAAACAACAGAAATTTATTTTCTCACAATTCTGGCCAGAAACTTAAGATCACAGTGTCAGCGGGTTTGGTTTCTGAGGCCTCTCTTCTTGGCTTGCTGATGGCTGCCCTCTTGCGGTGTCCCCACTGTCTTTCCTCTGTGTGGTCACATCACTGGTGTCTCTTTGTGTGTCCAAAGTGCTCCTCTTATAAAGACTCCTTTCAGATTGGATTAGGGCCCACTGAGCCTCATTTTAAAGTAACCACATTTGGGGACTTCCCTGGAGGTCCAGAGGTTGACTCCGCGCTTCCACTGCAGGGGGCGCAGGTTTGATCCCTGGTTGGGGAACTAAGATCCCACATGCCATGCGTGGGGAGTGGCAGAAAGAAAGAAAGAGAAAGTAATCACCTTTTAAAAGGCCCTATCTCCAAATACAGTCCTGTTCTGAGGTACTGGGACTTCGGGCTTCAACATATACATTTTAGGGGAACACCATTTAGCCCATAACATGACCCAAAGTGAAATACAGATTCAGTGCAATCTCTATCAAAATCCCAATGGCAATTTTGCATACATATCCTAAAACTCATATGGAACTCCAAATAGCCAACACTGTCTTGAAACAGAAGAACAAAGTTGGAGTACTCATACTTTCTAATCTCAAAACTGCAAAGCTGCAGTAATCAAAACAGTGTCTTACTGGCATAAAGACAGACACACAGACCAATGTAATAGAATAGAGAGCTCAGAATAAACCCTCACATATATAGGCAACTGATTTTTGACCGGGTGCCAAGGCCATCCAAGGAGAAGAGACACTCTTAACAACAAATGGTACTGGGAAAACTGGATGTCCACATGTAAAAGAAAAAGTTGGACCCTTACCTTATACCGTATACAAAAATTAACCAAAACCAGATCAGATTCCTAAATTTAAGGGTGAAAACTATACTGGGAATTCCCTGGTGGTCCAGTGGTTAAGACTCAGCACTTTCACTGCCATGGGCCCAGGTTCGATCCCTGTCAGGGAACTAAGATCCCACAAGCCACGCAGGGTGGCCAAAAACAAAAACAAAAACAGTTAAAACTACAAAACATAGGGGAAAATCTTGACCTTTGATTTGTCAGTGATTTCTTAACTATGATACCAAAAGTACAGGCAAAAAAAGAAAAAACAGATAAATTGAACCTCATCAAAATTAAAAACTTTTGTGAATCAAAGGATACCATCAAGAGAATGAAAAGCCAACCCATAGAGTGGGAGAAAATATTTGTAAATCTTATATCTGATAAAGACTAGTATATAGAAAATGAAGAACTCCTATAACTCAACAACAAAAAACCACAGGCAACTCAATTTAAAATGGCAAAGGACTTGAACAGACATTTCTCCAAAATAGATATGTAAAATAACCAGTAAGCACATGAAAAGATTGTTCAACATCATTAGTTATCAGGGAAATGCAAGTCAAAACCACAGTGAGATATCACTTCACATACATTAGGATAGCTATAATAATTAAAAAACAACAGCAAATACAAGTGTTGGCGAGGATGTAGAGAATTGGAACCTTTATATATTGCTGGTGGGAATGTAAAATTGTTCAGATGTCATGGAAAACAGTTTGGTCATTCCTCAAAAGGTTAAACATAGAATTACTGTAGGGGCTTCCCTGGTGGCGCAGTGGTTGAGAGTCCGCCTGCGAATGCAG